AGTGGAACAACCTGCCTCCAGAAGTGGTGAATGCTCCAACACTGGAAGTTTTTAAGAAGAGACTGGATAGCCATTTGTCTGAAATGGTATAGGGTTTCCTGCCTGAGCAGGGGATTGGACTAGATGACCTCCAAGGTCCCTTCCAACTTTATTATTATTATTATTATTATTATTATTATTATTATTATTATTATTATTATTATTATTATTATTATTATTATTATTATTATTATTATTATTATTATTATTATTAATCCAACCAAGGACTTTATCATATTTATTGGATAGCTCAGAAAATGTTTTAAAATGCTATAGCAATAGCAATAGCACTTATACACTACTTCATAGCTTTACAGCCCTCTCTAAGCAATGTAACAGCCCTCTCTAAGCAAAGTCAGCATATTGCCCCCCAAAATCTGGGTTCTCATTTTTACCGACCTCAGAAGGATGGAAGGCTGAGTCAACCTTGAGCTGGTCAAATCCATAATGCTGAAAGAGTTAAACTCATATGATACAGGATTGCCCCATTATTAACAACAATAAGGTCATTAAAATGAGCAACAAGGACAAAATAAGAAAACCAAGGAAACCAGGATGATTCTTCTATGCTTAGAAATGTTGAGAAATTTTGCATTATATTTCAGCAGAATATGGAACACTCTAGCTGTCTCAAAATTTGTTCCATTACTAGTCAGTCAACTCAAAATGTCTTTGCAAAAGACATTTGCTGGGCTATTTGTTCTTAGCTTGAAGCAAACAACACCATCCTACAAGCCAGTCCACTGTGATAGGTCTAAAGCTATAGGACTTAGGGACTTAGGCCTGAAGGAGACTGAGCCCCCAAAGTCTTCTGTTCTCCATGCCAAAAGCTTTGGCCAAGGGGCGGAAGCCTGAAGCAATGCAAGATCCCGCTCTGCCTCTGCTCTGCCTCTTACCACTTACCACTCTGCTTTTGGAGCGCTAGGAACAGGCAAAGAAACAGTGCTGCTATGTAAACTCTGCAGCATAGAAGCTGGAGAGGGGACAGCTCACTTGAGAGAAAACTAGTGGACAGCCTGTTCTGGAACTTTGGATCTTTGAAAGATATGTGAGCAGTCAGTAAGAGGGTGGGATGGAGCCAGTGGGCTAGTATAGGTCCCTGTTAGGTCCTGGGGGGGGAATAGGAAGGGGAATATTGCAGTGTCTCTATGGTCGGTTGTAATGGTGAACAACTGCCGGGGTGCTGAAATATTCCTAACTTCAGAACTGCGTTATAAGCACTTTTGGAGGATGGTATCATAACTTTGAACCATCACTAAGTGAACTGTCATAACTCGATGACTACCTGTACTCATTTTTCAAAATGTACCTAAAGTCAATAATGTACACCTTTTATGTGTAGATTCTTAGCCAAAATATTTGATTGAGAATTACCAATCATCAGCCCTTCGTGAAGTAGTGACAATAGAACTTAGCAAGATATTTTACCATAAAGCAGTTTCGAATTCATTACACAAATAAAACTCATTTGCAAAAATGATTTTCATTTTTTATTGTCAAAACCTATTGTTGAAAAACCCAGTGAAAGAAACAAGAGACAGCAACACAAAACAATACTTCTTACTTTAAGATTCAGAGGTGTATTTCATTAATAATTTGAAACACATACATGAATATCACTTACATTAAAAGCCCATTGCAATGAGGCCAGTGACACAGCAGTCGCTGCAAGGATGGCTATTGGCCAGTGGCCCTGATCTGTTTCTGAGGTCCTTCTTTTATACCTTTTTCCTTTGACCACATACAGATGGTCATTATCTTGCAACATTAAGAAACTAGTTCCTTGTTCTTTCTTGCTGACCATCAATTTCCATACATACCTGTGTACATCTGAAACCACCATCCATATGCTACTATCAGTTCTCTATTTCACACAGTTCTAACTTTCTTGTTCCAAATATACTTATGAAACTGTCTACTTTGCAAAATCATATTACACAAAAAGCAGTTGTATAACAAATTACAAATAGTTCTTCCATATTATGAAAACACTCCACTTTGGTTCATATCTCCATCATGAGGCCTATTTTGATTTACCTAGGCCTAATTATACATAAAGAATCAATAGGCCATATTCTCGCTTCTCACACTATGTAAATTCTCACAGATATTTGCTAAGATGAATAGATGTCCTGATGCTGATTGAGTTTAATGGTTTCATCAAGGCTTATACCTACAAAGTTTTTTCAGAAGTACAACACTATTATTCACAATGAATAATATTGTCATGTGTAATGATTTACATTTTTGTATATATCATTTAAACAGCCTTTTTCGCTAGTTCTGGCAATAAATTTCAATGTATCAAAGCTATAGCTCAAAGTCCTTCTCACATTGAATACTGGAAGTTATTCTTGCAAGACTAAACTAGGACTTACTTTATCCTTGCTGCAATAAATGATCCTTTTCTAAACATATATTCAGTCAAATATTGAGGGTCTTGCCACAGAGAGCAGAGAAACACATGCAGTCTTCTAATTTCTCATGGTGATGCCATAGCTATGATGATGAGATATTGTTGGCTAGTCAGAGAGCATTATAAGAAGGGACTAATTTTCTTCTGAAAGTTGTTAAAGGACTTCCTTTTCATGATGCTTCTTCAGCTTTTCTGCATGATAAAAAAATGGACAAAACTGAGGTTCTGGATGGATTCTTTGGACACGAAAAGTGTAAAGAGTAAGAAATTCCTGAAGAGAACTTCCAGTTGCTGATCATGGGCAAAGTGTAGAAGGATTTCTGCAGAGAGGGAAAGAGTCTGTGATATCAAGCATATGTTATTATGCAAATTCTAATGCAAACAATTTATTTCACATGTACAAAAATCTCCTGACCTATGTGACATAAGTTGTTTATTGTCAGATATCAATTTTGTGGCTTGATGATGTGTGGATGGAGCTAAAGAAAAAGAAATGTAGAAAAGTTCATATTAAAGCTGATTCTAGCCCTATAAAATAAAGTACTACGTTTATTGTATCAGCTACAGTCATAGAACCTTGCAAGTCTACATGTGTTTCCCTCTCCCTCTCTTCATCTTCATGTGAATTAGGAAGGGGCTTGTCTGAGACATTCCTTCAAGTTATTTTCTGGGCCTGGTTTCCAGCTCCTCTTATCTGACAGCTGCTATTCCCTCTTCCCTCTACAGATCCTGGAGGAGATAAACACTGTTTACACTAAACAAAAGATTTTTAACTCAGTTCAAATCATATGAAACAGATAATATATATATGGTTTTCTTAAGAGAAGGTACCGTATATACTCGAGTATAAGCCGAGTTTTTCAGCCCATTTTTGGGGCTGAAAAATGCCCCCCTCGGCTTATACTCGAGTCAGTGCCTCGAAGCAGCCGATGCTGCTGCCGCCGCCACCAGGCAAGCCACGGCGGCTCGCCGCTCGCTCCCCCTCCCCTGGCGCTGCGCTCCGCCTGCTTGCCTGGTGGTGGCAGCGGCACTCACGGCAACTCGCTGCTCGCTCCCCCTCCCCGGCGCTGCGCTCCGCCTGCTTGCCTGGTGGCGGCGGCGGCTTTCACAGCGGCTCGCCGCTCGCTCCCCCTCCCCGGCGCTGCAGCCAAGCGTGAGGGGGAACGCCAGATGCCTCGCGCAAAGGTGGGAGGCCTGGCGATGCTGCGCCCTGCTGGGCGCTCACCGACAGGGCTAGGGAGGCTGAGGTGGCTAGGGAGGAACAGCCAACTGCCGGCAACCAGCCGGAACTGCTGGGGCCGGCCCGTATTGAAGAATATGGCCAAATTTACGCGGGCTGGCTGAGAAAGGCGCACCTCCAGCCTTCTCCGCAACCGGGAGAAGCCCCCTCCCTTTTGCAAGGTCGCCCCCTCCCCGCTTTTGGGGTGGGGGAGAATTGAGAGAGAGAGAGACACAAACACACACACACACAAAGAGGAGAGGGGAGCCGGCCGGCCCACCCGTTTCCCCCTTTCCCTGCGCGAGCGTGTGTGGATTTCCCCCCCCCTTTTTTTCTGCCCGCCTCTCTCGCCCGCCCGCCCGGTCGGAAAAATGTGTGTGCTGAAAAATGCCCCCTCGGCTTATACGCGAGTCACCATTTTTTCCCAGTTCTTTGAGGAAAAATATGTCCCTCGGCTTATATTCGGGTCGACTTATACTCGAGTATATACGGTTAGATGGAATTGGCATCAAAGAATACTTCTTATGCACAAATAATGTGCATATGTAAAATATGTAAAAATAATGAGATTTTGAATTTTAGAAAAATATATTATAAAATGGTGACACCATATTTTCTCTAAAAGACAAAAAAAAAGGGAAAAAGGAAAATAAAATGTAAAACCACATTTTGCCTCGTAAAAGGGATATGTTCCTGGTTAGTAAGGGAAGAAGGGTAGATCTTGTATCGTGATGAGGAGACAATGCCTTACTTTATCTGTTCTTCTAGTTTCTGGGAGTTGATATTATTTTGACCTTCTGGATATTCATAGAAGTGCAACCCAATCCTAGATCCGCAATATTTGTGAGAAAAAAAACCCAGTGTACAAATAGTATCCCTGATATGATTAGTTAATGGTTATTATTATTAAACTCCAGAGTAATTTAAGGAAAGTATTGGATAGCTGCTAACCTTTGGACATAATTAATGCAAAAAAGATATGTCAGATAGCAAAAGTAATTTAATTAGATATCGAAATTCTACACTGCCAATTTCACCTGAGTCACTCGGAGTCATTTACAATAAAAATACAGTGTTAAGACCTAGAAGAATGAGGAAATGGTTTACATAACAATTTTATTGTTAGCTTCTGTATACTTATCCACACTGATATTTCCTTCTGAAGAGTTGAAAGGACTGCCTGAAAAGCTGAACTATTGATTGATTTGTTTGTTGTTGTATCAACACAAAGTTTCCAAGATTCTCATGGTGTCTCCTCTTATCTGTCATTCTTATTCCTCCTCCAAGATTCCTTGACAACAAACAAACAAGCATAAAATGAGGAAGGCATGGTAATAGCAGGAAGAAATCAGTTGCAAAAGCCAAACTGCTGAACTGAGGTTTTGTGGTTCAGACATTGCCTGAAAAGCTATGAACAACTGGCTGCTCCTGGTCATTGCTTTTCTTCTCTGCCCAGGCTGCTCTTCTCAAAATGGTAAGTTAAGAAGAAGAGAAATCAAGGGGTTACTAAGGAAATCAGTTTCTGCTGCATTCATTAAAGGAACAGTTACTTTTAGCAAAAGCAAAGAGTTCCATTTTTCATCTGTGGCTTTCTGGAAATTTGTAATGGCAGATTGTTTAAGAATATCATAGACTTATAAGTACAATCCCCTTCTCGAATACAACATTTTTCAGCAACTGATTTGTGAATAGAAAAATACTTTGCATTAGTATTGGAAATTCACACCCATTTTGAGGGACTTGGTTTGAATTAATAAAGAACCTGCTATGATAATAACCAAGTGATTATCATTTCTAATACTGTACTTTAAAACTGGTGTAAAAGTTTAGTCTTTGATTTCATTGAACTATTTTGTTTAATGGTTTATTTTACTTATAAACAAAAAATCCCCAAATTTGAAATGAACAACTGTAAAAATGGAATATATTTATTGATTATATTTCCCCACCATTTAAACATTTAGATGCTATTATTCTAAAAACATAGATTATAGAGAAAAAGAACTTTTCTTGGCAATAAATCCTACTGAAGATTTCAGACTTAATTTTTTCTGGGCCTATACAGAAGGATATGTCAGTACTACAGCTATCTATACTTTCCCCCAAATCCACAAGAGGGTATTAACTAAATTGGTTCTTTTTCTCTACACTTCCCTATAGATGACATGATTTTTATGCCAGCCTCTATTAATGCTCTGATCTGCCATATAGCACATAATATCTGCATAAGAGCATTGATCATACAGGGGTCACGTCTATAACATTTTATACAAAGGAAATGAGTCTTCATAAGTCAGAAGTTTGAAATGTTAGGGATGTATCTCAGGTTTACATCAGGATAAGTACAAAAGCAATTGGTAGATATCTCACAATGAGAATATCCTTTAGGAGAAGACAGAGGGGAATAATATTCACATTACAAGATTTGCTTATATTGATACTAATTGAGCCTTTGAGCCAGTTATTTATTTAGCACTGTTTCTGTGTGCATTTTAAAAATACTATAAACACATACAACTTGAATGGATGCTCATTAAAACATATTTATTAGTGTCTTTTGTAATCAGTCAGAAATACTGATGGGTGTTTTTGGAATATGGACAAAGTCTTCAATCTTCATGCTTTCATGTTTAATAGAAGGAGGAAAAAACTGTAATGGTCCACCCAGGATTGAGAATGGGGACATTATTACTTTATCTGAGAAGCGGTACAGATCTGGCTCTTCAGTAGAATTCAGATGCCAAAGGTTTTATGCCATGGAAGGCCAGAAAATATCTTTCTGTAACAATGGGACCTGGACAAAAGTGCCCATTTGCCTCGGTAAGTAGAAAATAAAATCTTCATCCAATTTTCATGAGCAGTTCTAAGCATTAGGATCCATTCACTGCTTTCTTTCTCTCTTGCATAAAGATAATTTAATTGGTCTTGTCTGGCAGCAACTCTCCTTTATATATGATTTCACTTCTAAATCTGAGGAGAACTGGCTAGTAGGTGAAAGCTAAATTCTATTATTAGACCTTTGCAACAATATTTGGATTTGCATTTGGATCCTTCTCTAACAGATTTATTCTCTTTGAGATCCCTGTAGGATTCCCACGGCTGAACTGGAAAGGCAGAAGATAGAAGTTAAAGATGGAATGGATGCCTCTGAAAATATATTTGTGCAACATGGACATTCTATAGAGTTGATCTGTAGAACAGGATATGTCCTAGCAGCAGATTCTTCTCAGTCAGCTTCTATAATCCATTGTGATGGGACAACCCCCGTGATTCCTAAATGCAAAGGTGACTCAAAGGATTTAATTTTACAAACCATAGCTAAGTTAGTACAAAAACAGCACACGGCATCCTTGAGAGTTTTTCCAAAATGATTGCTCATTCATCAATGCAGGATAATATATCTGCATGGCAATACCGTTTATATAATTGAATGGTATAGTACAGCTCACATCCATAGTTGAGCTACTATATATTTCTATTTTTAAAGAATTTATAACTGTTACCATACCAAAATCTAATTTAGTTACTGCTAGAGAATATTGCTTTACTTTTGATCTTGGGACTATTAGATTAGTGGATGCCTAATGAAGGACATTTTGCATTTCTAGAAATTTAATATCTCCCAGAAACAGCAGTTTCACCATAGGCATCAGAAGAACATTATGGAAATATTTGTTTGTTTGTTTATGAATTCATGACAGTTGCCTAATTGATAAGAGGATGCCTAATGAGGGTCATTTCTCAATTCAGGCAGTTTAACATCTCCCAGAATCAGTAGTTTCTATATAGGCATAGGAAGAACTTCATGGAGATGCTTGTTTGTGCATTCATGGCATTTCTCTATCATGTTTTTCCTTGTGGATTCTAGGCAACTTACAGATATAAAAATAGGAACCAAAGAATAAAAAATGCACACTTATACACACATGCCCCTGTAGCTCTTCAGTCACCTGTAGGTGAGGAGAGAGACTACAACCCTTATCTTAAGGCAACTGATCCCAGAGGAGGGGAGCTTCAAGGAGAAGACTTGATATCATTCCCTGACCAAACTGATAATTGGGGATCCTTAGCGAAAGATGTCTTGCCATTCAAGCAGTGGTTATTTGGAAAATTCAGTGTCATAGACAGCCCATTCTTGAACCATATCCAGCTTTAAAGGTAGTGAGCAGCTCCTTGGATAGCATCCAGAGGAACACTGGTATCCAATGTAACTTCTACAGCAGTGCTGTAATATTACAGAACTAAGATGACATAGCAAACATGCAATATATTGAATTCTAGATCAGCTGACATTTCCAGGATTCACCCAGGGCAATCCCAGGAAGAGCAAATTGATTAATTACACTTTGTGAAGGTGGTTTCAATTCTCAACAACCACATAGATCAATTTTCTCCAGGACAATCTATCCCAAGTTTGATCCTTTAGATCAGGGGTCTAAAGGTGCCTGGCTGAGGTATTCTGGGAGTTGAAGTCCACAAGTCATAAAAGGGCCACGTTTGAAGACCCCTGCTTTAGATCTTTCAACAATGCATCCATCACCACGGTAACTGAGCTCATCTATAGCATTAGGTAAAAGCAGAACCATTAAAATGTGGAACTCCTAATTTGCAATTCTTGAGGAAAACAACACTGGGATTGAAAGTGGGACTGAATAGCAAATATGGAGGTATCACACCGTAGTTTTACATTTTAATTCAACGTTAAACTGCAGAAGAAGAATAATTATAGCAACTTGCTGAAATTTATTTACGATCTTCAAAATGAATATCAAGCTACTAAAAGCAGTTTTAGTCAGGATAGCTTATTTCACAGTATATTTTAGGTATCAGTGGAAAGTTTTAAATTAGTTAGTACCCATCAGGAGCTGCTGATTAAAATTATCTGATGGTGATATATATATATATTTTCAAAATAATAATATTGTTTTTTCTGTGCTAATACAAAGCAATGCACATCATGTGATATAAGTGCAAGCTTTTCTTTTTTCAATATAAGATATGATTTATTTTCTCTAGAAATTATATGCAACTCTCCAAGAATATCGAATGGCTCTTTCCGACCTAAAAGAAATATATACCATGTCGGGGATCTAATTCAAATTCAGTGTTACAGTGGATTTACCTTTGAACCAGATAATAGAGGACAGGTGGTTGAATGCACAAAAAATGGGTGGTCACCTCCATCAAAATGTGTCTGTAAGTAGAAATTGCATACATTACTATGATTTTGGCCAATTTAACTCTGCACAAGCATAATTTTTCACATTATTTTACATGAATTTCTCTTTCTTTCTTTCTTTCTTTCTTTCTTTCTTTCTTTCTTTCTTTCTTTCTTTCTTTCATCTAGTGGTGAATTATGGCACTACAATTTGATATACCTAAAGGAAACTTGGCTTGAAGCCCAGATTTAGATAAGACTCTTGCTGACCTTGGAAGCTTTCACTTTTGAAGACTGCAGCTGGGAAAAGAAAAAAAAACCTTTTGGGCTGCTTATTGGTGTGGCAGAGATGATGAACTATTTTGAAACTGGCTTGCCTGAACTACGAATATAAATATTAACTGACTTTCAGAGCTGTGTTGTGGAACTATTTCCCTGCAGGAGAAATACACTTCATTAGTTGAGATGATGAATATTTTGGATTACAAATCTTTGATTGATGAACAATTTTTATTATAAAGATCATATTTACCTACATGTGTGTAGCCACCCTCCTCCCCCCTTTTTTGTGTCATCAAAGGGGTGGAGATGGAATGGCCCCCAAGGATCGTGAAAGGGTGAATCAGCCCAAGGACGGGAGGCGCATTCCAGCCTGGGAAAGCAGAGGACGCCCACCTGAGATACGGACACAAAAAAGGGGGGAGGAGGGTGGCTACACACATGTAGGTAAAGGAGGTAAGGAAGAATTAACTCAGTTTGCAGATGAGGCCAGGATTGGCCGGCCGGGACCTGTCATGAGATCTAGGAGCTGTGCGCAGACATGACTGTATTTATAGGCAAGCTCTCCCAGCATCCTGATTATACCCTGACGATGATGACAGTTTTAGGCCATCGAAAGCTTGGTTTTATTTATTAAAACTGTATTGTTTGTCATAGAGCCATTAGTAAACAGCCCACCCAAAGAATCCTTAAGACCATCCCCACCCACTCAGATAAGTAAGCACCAGAATATAAACCGACAGCAAACAGACTCCCTGATATCATTGGCTAATGGTTAACTACATTTGGCTAAAGATTGTTAAACCTCAGAGTCATTTATGAGAAGTGTTGGATAGCTGCAAAGTTGTGGACCTAACAAATACAAAATAGGTATGTCAGATATCAAATGTAATTTAATTAGTTATCAACTTTTTACTGAGTCATTCTGGATGCTTTACAATAAAAATAGAGTGTTAAGACCTGGAAGAATGAGAAAATGGTTTGCATAATAATTTTGCTGTTAGCTTCTGCTATGTATCAATCCTGGAATGGAAGTGCTAATTTTTCCATCTGAGGAGTTTAAAGTACTACCTGAAAAGCTGAACTATTTGTTTGTCGTTATATTCTTATTCCAGTAATATTTCCTCCTTCCAGGTTTCGTGACAACAAATAAACATAAAATGAGGAAAGGACGGTAATAGTTGGAATAAATCATCTGAGAAAGCCAAACTGCTGAAGTGAGGTTTGGTGGTTCAGACATTGCCTGAAGAGCTATGAAGAGCTGGCTACTCCAGGTTGCTGCTTTTCTTCTCTGGCCAGGCTGCTCTTCTCAAAATGGTAAGTTAAGAAGAAGAGAAATCAAGGGGTTATTAAGGAAATCAGTTTCTGCTGCATTCATTAAAGGAACAGTGACGTTTAGCAAAAGCAAAGAGTTCCATTTTTCATCTGCGGCTTTCTTGACATTTGTAATGCCAGATTCTTTAAGAATGTCATAGACTCATAATTAGAATCCCTTATCATATGCAATTTTTTCAGCCGCTGATTGGTGAATAGCATCAGTATTGAAAATTAACACACATTTTGAGGGACTGGTTTCAGTTAATAAAGAATCAGATGCTATAATAACCAAGTGATTGCCATGTCAAATAAAGGCTACTTTAAAACTGATGTAAAAGTTTACTCTTTTATTTCATTAAAGTATTTGTGTTTAATGGTTTTTGTTATAAACAAAAAAATCCCCCAAAGTTGAAATGAACCATGTAAAAATGGAATATATTTATTGAATATATTTCCACATCATTTAAACATTTAGATGCCATTGTTCTAAAATAGGATCTTGCAGAAAAAGAAGACTTTTCCTAGAATAAATGCTACCAAAGCTTTCAGACTCAGTTTTTTTCTGGGCATATGAAGAAGAACATGCTATTTATATTTTCCCCCAAATCCACAAGAGGGCTTAATCTAAATAGGTTCTTTTTCTCTACAATTCCCTATAGATGCAGTGATTTTTAAGACACACTTATTAATGTTCTAGTGTGCCAGTACAATACATAATGTCTGCATAAGAGCATTGATCATACAGGGACCATGTCTGCTGCTTCTGCAATCTTTTATGCAAAGGAGAGGAAACTTCATAAGTCAGAAGTTTGAAATGGTAGAGATGTATCTCAGGTTTACAACTGGATAAATACAAAAGCAATTAGAAGATATATCATGATGAGAATGTCCTTTAGAACACAAGGGAGATAATATTCAAGGGGGATAAGACTACATTTGCTTATATTCATAGTAATTGAACCTTATTTACATCCATGAATCTAGAAGTAAATGCTTGTTTTGGGTAACACTGTCAGAAAACAAGGTCATGTGACCATGAGATACTGCAAATGACCATAAAGGCATCCCAGTTGCCCAACACCCAAAGTGCATACATAGGGTAAGGTTACTGTTGGAAATTTGAATCTGGGTCATAAGCAGCTCCCTGGTAAACTCCTTCAAACTTTAAACAATTGCTAAGTTAAGGACTACTTGTACTGAGGATTAAGTGCCCAGCAGATATTAGTTTCCAGTTAAGAAGGAAATAATGATCTAACTTGGGTTTACAGCAGGAAGTTTGTTATCTCATAGTTCATGAGAATACATAGGAAAAGTGAACTTGTCTAAGCATGTAAGAAAAGTTTATGTAAATATAATTTCAGTATGTGAAGAACCAGATGACATTGCTTTCGGGGAAATTGTAACCATGGAGAAAGCCAAGTATCTGGAAAATGACCGAGTGCAATACAGGTGCTACCCTGGCTATGTCTTGGAAGGACTTGAATGGATTCAGTGTAAAGGACAACAATGGACACCTCGTCCACCAAAATGCTTGGGTAAGCCATCATGCTTTCTTGACTAGTGTAGACCTGGAATAAAATGTAGAATTGTTTCAATAGGATAAGAATTGCAGCTGCCAAATTCTTTGAGAATTAGCTTGAATTTAGATCCAAGGTTTCCCTCTACACTGAAACCACAAACAGTCCTTGTGTCAGCTTCTTCCATTTAAAATCTGCAAAAATGAAACTGACTCAAAATGTTGAATGAGCAAGCAAATCAATGAATACAATTAAATGCTGTTCAATTGGAAGTTTTGCAGAAAACATTTGTTGGGCTGTTTGTTCTTAGCTTGAAACAAACAATATCATCTGTTTGTGCAGGCTTCTACAAGAAAGTTCTCTATGATAGGTCTAAAAACTATAGCAGAATCATAACTTGATTATCATTAATATCATTCTATAACTTGGCTTATTTCATTTTTGCCTGGAACTATCCATTTCGATTTGTAAACCAGGCTGATTTTCTTGAGGGTGGAATAGAGGGAAAACAATGGACAAATTACCTCCCTTCTTTTCTTTTCTTTTCTTTTCTTTTCTTTTCTTTTTTTTTAGCACCATGCAGTATCACAAGACAACAGCTGGTAACAAAAAACTTGTTTGTGTTTGGAAGTCAAAGAAAAAGTCGGTTTATTCAAAGTAATCATAGCCTGCAATTTCAGTGCAGTGAAGGATATGTCCTTGTGGTTCCATCAGTCAGAAAGTGTGTTGACGGTTACATGGATTTGCCATTATGTATCTCTGGTAAGCATGCTGCAAATACGATGGATTCCTTTGAGATTGTAACTAATTAAAATAATTAATATAACATAATGAATATGAACATTTGCTTCTAAAATCCCATTCTTTTAAGAGTGATTTACGAATCACAGAAAGCTAATTGGGAAGAATCACAGAAATCACTCACATTTGACTCAGAGTTTCAGTATCTGAGGGGCTGCCACAAGGCAGAAGGGGCCAGGTTGTTCACCAAAGCACCAGATAGAAAGACGAGAAACAACAGTTGGAAACTGACCAAACAGAGAAGCAACCTGGAACTAAGGAGAAATTTCCTGACAGTGAGGACAATCAACCAGTGGAATAGCTTACCCCCAGAAATCGTGGGTGCTCCAACACTGGAGATTTTTAAGAAGAGACTGGACATCCACCTGTCTGAGACGATATAGGTTCTCCTGCTCCAGCAGTGGGCTGGACTAGAAGACCTTCAAGGTCCCTTCCAGCTCTACTCTACTCTACTCTACTCTACTCTACTCTACTCTACTCTACTCTACTCTACTCTACTCTACTCTACTCTACTCTACTCTACTTTATTCAGCCATTACTTAGATTATCTGTTCAATACATGTATATTGCTGTTTTTTTCTGTGTATATTTTAAAAATAGAATAAACACATGCAGCTTGAATGGATGCTCATTAAAACATCTTTTGGCATCCTTTGTAATCAGTCAGGAAATATTGATGGGTAATCTCAAAGCTTTAATTTGGAATAAAGCTGAAGTCTTTACTCTTCATGCTTTCATATTTAATAGAACGAGGGAAAAATTGCAGTGATCCACCCAGGATTGAGAACGGAGACATTACTACTTTATCTGAGAAGCAGTACAGATCTGGCTCTTCAGTAGAATTCAGATGCCAAAGGTATTATACCATTGAAGGCCAGAACAGATCTTTCTGTGACAATGGGACCTGGACAAAAGTGCCCATTTGCCTCGGTAAGCAGAAAATAAAATCTCCATCCAATTTTCATGAGCAGTTTTAATCATTAGGCTCCATTCACTGCTTTACTTGGTCTTGCCTGCAGCAGCTCTCTTTTATATATGATTTCAGTTCTATATGCGAGGTGACCTGGCCAGTAGATGAAAGTTAAATTCTATTATTAGACTTTTGCAACAACATATGATGCATTTGGATCCTGATTCCCTTCTCTAACAGATTTATTTTCTTTTTCGCCTCAGATCCCTGTATGATTCCCAGGGCTGAACTGGAAACCCAGAAGATAGAAGTTAAAGGTGGAATGGATGCCTCTGAAAATATATTTGTGCCCCGTGGTCATTCTATTGAGTTGACCTGTAGAACAGGATATGTCCTTGCAGCAGATTCTTCCCAATTAGCTTGTGATGGGACACCACCTGTGATTCCTAAATGCAAAGGTGACTCAAAAAGTTTAATTTTGAAAGCCTGCTATCATCAATCCAGACCCCAAATACTTCAGTTTGAGTCTATTTATTGCTAGAGCTGGAATAAGATGCAATTATTTATGTCTTTTACCGGTACAAATATTTTTATCCCTGGATGCACTTTTCTATTCTGAAAGGGCCTAATGAGAACCCTTGGGATATAGTTAAAGTAAGCGAACCCTGAAAATTTGAAGATTGCTGTAGAGGTGAGGTGTAATGAAAGACACACCCATTGGCCATTTTGTGACTAAGTTAGTGCAAAAACAGCACATTCCATCCTTGAGAATTTTTCCCAAAAGACTGTTCATTCATCAGTGAACAGTAATACCTCTTTATGGCAATACTTTTTATATCACCGAATAGTATAGCTGTTGCTTTTACTGACAAATTCCACAGTTGAGCTACTACATGTTTTTAAAGCATTCATAAACACATATTCACACACACACACACACACACACACATCCTTGTAGCTCTACACTCTACACTCACCTGTAGACCAGGAGAGGGCTGCAATCCTCATCTTAGGGCAGTTTTTCCATAGGAGGGTAGTTGAAAAGAGAAGACTTGATATCATTCCTGGGCCAACCTGACAGATGGGGACTCAGTGAATGTTGTCATGCCATCCATGCTGGACAGTGATAATTTGGATAATTCAGTGTATTGATACCCCATTCATGAGCTATATTTAGCTTGAAAGTTAGGGAGCTTGCAATGTATTGAATTCTAAACCAGCTGACATTTCCAGGGTAGTCTCAGGGCAATCCCAGGAAAAGCAAATTGATTAATTACATGTCATGAAGTTGGTTATCAATGCTCAACAACGACATAGATTAATTTTCTCCGGGACAATTTGTCTCCATTCTGGACCTTCAGATCTTCCACCAGCACTGTAACTGAGCCCATCTGTAACACCAGGTAGGAGCAGAACCAATACAATGTGGAGCTCCTAATTTGCAACCCTTACAGGTGGCTGAAAACACTACTGGGATCAATAGTGAGACCTAATAGCAAGTATGGGGTTTTTGAATTGTAGCTTTATAGTTCTATAGCAATTTGCTGAATTTATTTATGGTATTCCAAATAAATACAGCGATACTAAAGATACTTTTAATTAAGATGGCTAATTTCACAGTACATTTTCAATACTAACTGACAGTTTGACAGTTGGTCTGATGATGCTACATATATTTCAAAAATAACAATGGTATTGCTTTCGGTGCTAATAGAAGCAACGCGTGTAATCTGATACTAGTACAAACTTTTATTTTTTCAATATCATATATAATTTACTTTTTCTAGAAATTACATGTAGCTCTCCAAGAATATTGAAAGGTTCTTTCCGACCTCAAAGAAACATATATAATGATGGGGATCTAATTCGAATTCAGTGTGACAATGGATTTACTCTTGAACAAGATAACGGAGGACAGGTGGCTGAATGCACAAGAAATGGATGGTTACCTTCACCAAAATGTGTCCGTAAGTAGAACTTGCATATATTACTATAATTGTAGAATGGCTGATACCTTTAACTCTGCATAAGTACACTTTTTAATATTATTTTACATGATTTTCTAATAGTTTGCCTAAAAAACATATTTCACTCGGAACCTTTTAGCACATTATACACATATCTAAAGTATTTAGTTGTAACAGGATATAGGGGAGACATGATAGGCAGATGTGTTATCAGAACAGAACAGACAAAGTTATTTCATTGCCCCTCAAAAAGATTATTTCTAGATACAGTATGTGGGAAGCATGCAAGAAACCTGTTTTAAACGAAGTGTGGAATGTCTGCTTGTCAAATAAAGAGAGATAATCAAAGATATGCAAATTCACAGGCAAATAGATACACATATCTTAAAGGAGAATAATAACATGAACAGTATTACTTTCTCTTAGCAAGCGAATAGGCCTATTATAAACATAGAACATAGATGCATAGAAATGTTTCCTACATTTTGAACTGAAGAAATCTCAAAGCTAAAATTGTAACAATGTGAAATAGCACTGTTTTATCTGTGGAATGATATCCTCATATCTGAACCACACATGTTTCAGTATCTTAAGCTTAGAACTGGAAAGAGAAATAAGGATGAAGGAAAAAAGACTTAGTGAAAGGATGCACAAATTTTCCTGATGAAATTACTCTACTAGAAGGAGAAAATATTAGCTGAGGAAAGCATTTTCTTTTAGCAGCAAAGCAATATAAGTTAGTCCTTATTATTGAAGCAAACCTTGTGAAAAGATCCTTGGTGATGAATATTATCAGAACTCCTGCTCATTTAATATTGTTGGATTCAGCATGCCAATCAAAAGATGCCTTTACTTAGCGATGTTAGGCCCAAAATTATTGAGGATGATCCATTTATTTGCAGATCACCAACAAGGAAAGAATTGTTACCCCCTTTCTTGTGTCTCTATGAAGGCTTTTATTATATAAAAAGCGTTATGAACTTATTTCTTTCTTACTTTTCACTAAATCTATACTTTAGAGCCAGTTTGGAGTAGTTGTGAAGGTACCACCTAGAAACTAGGAAACTGTGAGGTTTAGGTATGAAAGCCACTGAGTGATTTGGGATCAGTCGCTTTCCATGTTTCTTGAAAATCTTTTTCTTTTTCTTCTTCTCTGCTTCTCTTATCACTTCCTTTCTCTCTGATGTTTTCAGTATTTCTACTTTCCATTTTATCCAATCTGTTTTTTTTGTCCTCAGATTTATTTTGTAGTCTTAAGGGATGAGTTATTTTTTCTATTTCTTGTGAATTTTTTCTCACTAGGATTAAATCATGTTTTCTTGCTTTGTTAAGTTCCATCTTTGAGTCTCTATTTTCATTTTTATGCCCACTTATTTGTTTTGTCTGCTCCTTTTCTGTTGTTGTTTCCTGGAAGTTTTTTTGCTGTAGAGTTAACTTAGAAATAGATTGATTTATATTTTCAAATTTATTTTGGATTTCTTTGTGATTTGAACTCAGTGTTGTTTGAATGAATTGCAGTATACTATATATCTCCTCCTGAGAGGTATTTATGTTTTCTTGGTGTGTTCTATCTACATGTCTCTGATCCATGATGGCCAAAAGTTGAATTTTTCCTTCTTTTCTCCAAATAGCTTTAGAATCCTGGTTAAATAGATATTTGTAATCCAAAGAGTTCAAAAAAGATTTTATTTTCATAAAGTTTATAATTCTCTCTTTGTCTGCAGCCCAGATTGTTGTCTTTTTTTGTCACAGCTGTTCTTTGTTATTAAAGCTTTGAAGGTCACAAACACAGATTAGCTTTTCCCAGGTTTTGGCAAGTTCTCTATAGAGATCATAACTGTCATAATCTTTATCCACCACTAGGTATCAGAGTCTATTTAGTTTTCAATATGAACAATAGTCTTTAAAATGAGAGTTTTAATCATTCAACTATTTTAAACTTGTTCAACATTAAATTTTAGCTTTCAAGTTTATAAATTTATTTCACTGCCCACTCAATCTGCCTATGGATTTTCCAACAAATTGTATACAGCTTTTCTTAGCAGTCTCTTAGCCCATTTATTTGAAAAGAGGCATTCTTCCTCTGGCTCCACTGGTTTCCCAAGTATTTTATAAAGAATTCACATTTTATTAACAGAAGAGTTCACATGTTATACTTTCTTTTTCCATTAGAAGTTGAACGCACCTGTAAGGTTTCTCTGCTCCATGGGAGTTTTGTACCAGAGCAACAGAGTATTCAGATCAATGATAAAGCAAAATATATTTGTCAGGATGGCTATACAACCTCAAAAGGAGAGACTGAGGTAGAGACACAATGCCTTACAGAGGGCTGGAGCCCAGAGCCAGAATGTATCAGTAAGTAAATATAATTCCATTGGAAGATAGATTGAAACTGACTGGCATAGACAAAGACATGGGATCTTGTTCAGTGAAGAATAGCCTGATATCATAACCATTTGTAAATGTAGCTCTTCAAGAAGTCTAACTATAGACTTATAGTATAAAATGACTGTATTTGATCATAATTTGAAAAAAATAACTTGTAACCTAAATATGTGTACACTTTTATTGTAAACATAACAGTTTGTAGAATTTGCATTTTATTTCCTGTCCTCCCAAGAGCTTATGCCACATCACAAAATATCCTATAGATGCAAACAGAAAACATATATTATGGAGTTTGCATTTACAGAGAGAGTTTTATCTCCTTAAACTGGTAAAATGGCAAGAAAACCTGTTGAGAATCTATCATGTTCTCTGCACAACATATAATAAGAACCAAATTTAGTTCAGATTCAAAAGCAAAAACTGCTGAAAGACACAAAGTGCTCACAGAGCGACTGTCTGCAGTACCTTAGATAGCCACAACTTCAGCACACTCCTGAAAAACTATGCATCTGTGTTCAGATGCTAGAATCATGAAAGGGCCAGTGATCCAGTCTGCAAGACCAAATTGTCTAATGTGACCTCCTGACCTGGTTGAAAAGCAACTAACCATGTTTGCCAAAATCGCTAGCGTGAAGCAGTGAGAACCTATTTATAGCAACTCATCATTTGCTTTGTGCATGGGCCTATACCTAAGAGGTCATTCTTTGGTGAGAATTGTTGAGCTTACAACTTAGACTCATGAGAAAATAACAGTGAGACATTAATAATATCCACTCTTTGATTCCTCAGGGACATGCTTAAAGCCACCTGCAGATAATTTTATCTTCAACACAACTAAGCCTGTTTTTTTACCTGGAGATGTACTTCACTATGAATGTAAAGAGGAGTTTGAAATCACTAAAAATAGCATCAGTGACACCGTGGTGTGCACTGAGGAAGGATGGGAACCTACTCCTCCTAGATGTGTGGGTAAGTTAATGAAACACCAGTCTAATAATCCCGTTGTCTAAATCAGTTCATCAAGAATATTTTCCTGATGATTTCCATAATGTTGCATTTACACTTGGGTATACTCAAAAGTATTATAGTCCTAAATTATTTT